GGCTGTAAATCTCTACAGAAGCAAACTGCTACATCTTTCTCCCTCGGAGCTGCTGGTGGTTTTGAACCAGCAACCTTTCAGTTAGCAGCCAAACTCTTAAACCACTGTGCCACCAGGGATCCTTCATGGTGACCAAGTACTTATTAAACACCTACTCTGGGCCAGGTGCCTTGCTTGTTATGGGGCTACAAGATAAACAAGGAAGACACTCCCTGCCCTGGTGGGTCTTATGGATTAGTGAGCGGGGCAAACGTAATACCACAAATAAATATATAATTCTAAATTGTGAGCAGGGCTATGTGGTAAAAGTAAAGGGATGACTGATGACAGGTATTAACAAGGGCACCTGATTTCAATGTGGAGGTCAGGAAAGACTTATTTGAGGAAGAATATAAAAGCAGATATCTAAAAAGTGAGTGGGAGTTTGGCAAAAAGTGGGGTTCCCATCAGAGAATAAACAACAAAAAAAAAAACAAACCCAAACCCATTGCCGTCAAGTTGATTCATAGCAACCCTATAGCACAGAGTAGAACTGCCCCATAGGGTTTCCAAGGAGCAGCTGGTGGATTCAAACTGCTGAGCCTTTGGTTATCAGCTGAGCTCTTAATCAGGGTGCCACCAGGGCTCCCATCAGGGAATACTGTATGTAAAAGCCCCAAAGCAGGTCCTTTCCATTCACTAACAGAAGGCTCCGGTGGCCAGACCAGTGACTGACAGGGAGAGGAGGGATGAGCTTAGAGAGGAAGCCAAGGGCAGATCTCCCACGGATGGGATTCAGAGCATCAGAAGAGGACCAGGCTTCCAAAAGAAGAGGACATGTCCTCTCTTTTAATGAGAGAGAGAAGAGATGGCATCAGATACCAACAGGTTTGTAGCAGGCTCCTTGAAGATGCTCCTTTCTAATGGCTTCTATTTTCGCTGTGAAAGAAGAGGCAACTAAAAGTGACCAAGCAGAAGGGAGGCTTGAAGGTGTAAAATTCTAGTTGCTGAGAGTGGAAAAGGGAGTTAATTGTTGAGATTCCTGACTTGGGAGCACCCAGCTGAAGTTGATGATGATAATTTTAGAGTGACAATAGTCTGTCCTTTGGGATGATTTCCTTCAATGGTCCTTAACTGCTTGGGGGCAGTTGTAGAGAAGATAAATGTTGATTTCATCTAGACTTGGGGCTAAACCAGAGGGAGGGATGGAAAGGATAGACAAGTAAGGGAGTTGAAGGCATTTACATAAGAGGGATTGTAGTGGTGAACCTGGAACCTAAGGTGGATAAGGAGAGATGTAAAGACAGGAACAGGGCTGATGGAAAAAAGTGGAAGGGTCAGTACATCCTCAATGAGTGAAAAGAACAGCTGCACTGAGCCAACTGGAGCAAACAAGCCTTAAGGAAAGGAGATCTTATCTGAGAGCAGGTCTTTGATTCAGTTATTTCATAGGTGCTGCAGTTTCAGATGATGATAAGGCTCAGGCAGGGACAGATTACTCAATAAGCAAGGTATGCACAGGCTTACTAGTGCTTACTTACTAATCTGTAGTGCACAATTTCACCTTTTTTTCACCACTTCAGAGGTGTGGTGAAACCCACGTGAAATTGTTCACTACAGATTAGCAGGTAAACACAATTAAACCCGTGGGTGCACACCTTGCTTACTGGTTAATCCGGCCTTGGGCTCAGGGTTTGACCCTGAGAGTGGCTTGCTAAGGTGGCATGGAGGAGAAGAATGTGAGAAATGAGAGGGTGAAGGAACTGAGAGTTCAGCACACTGGATGGAGCATCCACGTAGATGATGACCATATCTAGGACGACTGCTTTCCTTACCTCCATCTTCTATCCTACATCCTCTCTTTTATCTCCACTCCTTTCATCATCAACATCCTCTCTCCTTATCCCTATCTAATTTCCATACCTCCATACCCTCTTTATCACCTCCATCCTTGTGTCCGCCAAAAAGATATGTTAAAGTGCTAAGCCCTGAAACCTGTGAAAGTGACCTTGTTTGGAAACAGGATCTTTGAAGATGTTATCAGTTAAGTGGACATGAGGTTATAATGGAGTAGGGTGGGTCTTAATCCAATCTGACTGGTGTCTTTATAGAAGAGGAAAAGAGACACAGACTCAGGAAGGACATCCCTGTGAAGATGAGTCTACAAGCCAAGGAACACTTTGGGGCTAGCAGAAGCCGGAAGAGACAAGAAAGGATCTTCCCCTAGAGATTTCAGAGGGAGCATGGCCAGCCAACACATTGATTTGGACTTCTAGCATCTAAAACTATGAGCCAATAAATTTCTGTTCTTATAAACCCTTAAGTTTGTGGTATTTTCTTATGATTGTATTAGACTGAAACTAATACAATCTCCATCCTCTCTAACCCCACCCTCTCTTATCACCTCATCCTCTCTCCTTATCCCCACACTCTCTCCTTGTCCAGCTTTTCTCCTCACCCTCATCTTCTCTCCTCATCCTGTTCCTCTCATCATAACTTTATTTCCTCTCCACCATGAACACTTGAGAAGAAGTACAGCATAGGGGCTAAAGCAAAGCCTGTGCTCAGGAGCCTGACTTGTTGTTAGCTGCCATTGAGTCAGCCCCCAACACACGGTGACCCCATGCACAATGGAACAAAACACTGCCCAGTTCTATGCCACTTGAGTTGAAATCCTATAGTGCCACTTGCCAAATGTTGCCTACTTTTGCTGTGTCTCAGTTGTAAAATTGGGATAATAATAATACCTACTCATAAGGTTGTTGAAAGGATTACATGAATATCAAGTGTTTGGAACAAAGGACTCGCCCAATAAAATGATTATTATTCTCATTCTCTCTCCTTACTTCCTGGTTCTTTTCCTCACTTTCATCTCTCACTTCCATTATCTCTCTGCAACAACTCATCCCTCTTCAGAGAGGTAGAGATGAATCAGATTCAGTCCATGACAAAGTCTAGCAGGGGAAACAAACATGAAAATAAATATCAGGATAATATAATAAGTGTTACTTCAAAGACATGAAAGAAATGCTAAAGTTATGCTAAAGAAAAACTAACTCTGCCTAGGGGAGTAAAGACAAGACTCATCAAGCAGGTTACCCTCAGAAGGAACTTGAAAGATAAGGAAAAATTTGCCAGGCAAAGGCAGGAAAGAGGTACTCCAGCAAAAGAAACACAGGGTGTTTATATGTACTCAAGTGTGAAATTAGAGGTAGATCAACTCCTACCCAGGCAGGGGCATACCTACTTCAGTATGGCCACCAGAGAGCAGCAAAACATTAGGAGCTGCTGCAGGCCAGAAAACCTGAGGAGAGCTAAACAGACCATGAAGTCATTGCAAGAATCCTAAAAGGAGTTTCTTCCCAGATTGGGCTGGCTGAATCATTCAGAAAAAAAAAAAAAAAAAAAGGCATCAGGCACTTGGAGAAAAAGCCTAGGTTTGTCTTAGATAAAGAACAGCAGTTCCCTAAAGATTGGTACACGTTAATAATAAAAGAACATTTCTCCACTGAGTTAAAAGTGTATGTCTAATGTGTACTCTTTACTTGACTTAGTATTTACCATGAACCAGACACTGTTCTCAGTGCTTTACATATATTCACTTACTCCTCATAACAACCCTATCAGGTAAGTACAATTGTCATTCCCATTTTGCAGATGGGGAAAATGAGGCGTTGGCCAAAGTTACATGAATAGAAAGTGATAGTAGATTTGGCTCCAGAATTTGGGTGCCCCTCTTGTAATCAGTAGTTCCATTCAGAGCTCTGGTACCTAGGAGTATAAGATGCAGCCTTCCTAGGAAGTCAGCAGCCCTTCTCTTAATGCTAGCCCTTGTTTAGTCACTTATTAGCCATGTTGCCTTAAGACACATCACTTCACTCTCTGTTTTTTTCAAAAGTTAAATAATGGCGTTAGGTTCAGTTCCTTCATCTAAACACTGCAGAGCAGGCCCTGTGGGCCGTAGAGAGTGCTGTGGATACAAAGCTGGACAGGAAGCAGGCCCACCTTCAAGGAGTTCAGAATGTGGAGGGAAGGCTACTAAGCCAACAATTATAACAGAGGATGACAAGTGTTCTCCGAGGAGCTGGGAGAAGAAGCCTCTCCTGTGAAGTAGGCCCCCTCCCACTCTGGCAGGTGTGGAATTTGGGCAGGAGGTGTTAAGAAAGGCTTCCCACAATAATTACAGGAAAGGTAGGAATTAGCTAGAGAGATGCGGAGGAGGGGTATCCAGGCAGTGAAAACACAGCATGAGCAAAGAAAACAAAGAGAGTTCCAAGAGTTCTATAAGAACATCTTTGCACATCTTCTATTGATCTCCATTTTTGGAATATACTTTCCCTCCTCTGCACGCCTATAAGCGTCTTCTGAGAAGCACCACAGACCTAATCCAACAGCTTCCCATAGTGGTGTCAATCAATCAACATGTATCTGTTGAGCACCTATTAACTGCCTTACACAGACGCAGGAGATGCCTCAAAGTCTTGCAGTTTAGTTAGAGTCCACCTAGATCTGATATTGGGGCTTGTGAAATGCAGAAGCCTTGTTTCTCCATCTCTGATCAGGTAGGCAAGCATCTATGAAGCAAAGAATTCCTTCCACATACGTACTATATTGACACTAATTTTTTAGTTCCAGGAAGCTTCCAAAGTTTCCCACTCAGAAAAGCAGAAGAATTAGGATGAGGGATGGAAGAAGGTTAGGAGACCATTCATCACGGATGAGGCAAGCTTCTCTTTGGAAAGGTCAATGGAGACCTCAGGAATAACATCTCCCCTCCCCCAGTTCTCCACCTCTGGCACCCTGGGAAGAGGGCAGCTTTGGCCCTTGTGGTTCACATCCGGCCTCCTGGCAGGAACTGTAGATTTAGTCAGCAACACTCAAATCTTGAAAAAATAGGCAAGAGTGGTGGAGGGGATATGGACAGAGATAGTAAAGAGATGAAAGCCAGAAACAAGTGAGCCAGGGAAGAAGGGAGCAGAAGACAGGGTCCAGGGCAGGCTGTGGAGAGATACTGAAGGAATATGTTGCTGCTGCTGCTATTCCTGAGGGCTACCACAAGCAGATGTGTACATGATGAAACACAGAAGTCTGTGAGCCTTCTCAGGCCCCTTTTCTCCCAACTTCTCCCAAATGTCCGCTCTTCCTTCCTCACCCTCCCTGGCTCCCATGATCCTCAACCCCTCCGAATCCAAACCTGTTATATCGGAGGTCCTATATCAGACGGAGCCTTGGATCCTGAAGGAGATGGGATGAGAGAGGATTCTCGAGCTTTGGCCGCAGTGAGTGAGGCTACTCAGAGAATCCAGAGTGTCCTAGCAGGTAAGTGAGGGAACAGAAAGGATCAGGGAAGGCTGAGGAGCTGAGAGGTCTAAGGGAGGAAGACCAACACAGAAAAGAAACTCTAAGATGTTGAGGTGAAGCTGGCCGCTTGTCCTGTTTAAAGTCTCTCCAGTGCAAGGACCTCTGCTTCTGAATCGAGACCCTGCCCAGTACTGCCATGCTGTCTGGGGAGACCCAGATACCCCAAACTACCACAAGTGAGTCCACCTCATTGAGAACATATATAATACCTTTTCAGTGATACCCCTAAAATGTCTCAAGCTCACCTACAGATTTCCATTCTTGATAGGTGCAGCCTTTTGAATTCAGAGTACAAAGGAGAGAGTTGCCTAGGAGCAAAGGTGAGAGCAACTTCTCAGACTTGGGGATCTGAAGATCTCCAGCCTGCCTAGACTTCTCCAAGACCAACATCATCAGAATTACTTAATCTGCTTTTTAAGAACAGAGATTCCTCCCATGACTTATTAAAATCAGAGACTGGGGCAGTGGTTTGGGGGGAGGTTAGATTCAGGACACTGTATTCTAACTAGCTGCCTAATGACACTAAGGTAGACTAAGGATAGTCTCATTGCCCACTACCCCTAGTACCCAGTTTCCTGCTGTCCTATCTCCCAGCCCATTTGCTAAGCTAGATGTTACATTTCACTCCCTCCCAGATCCCTGACGCCCATCTCCGTGGTTATGCCTTGTGGCCGGAACAGGGTCCCCCACAACTGATCCAGCCAGATGGACCTGGAGTCCAGAACACTGATTTTCTTCTGTATGTGCAGGTTGCCCATACTTCCAAGTGCCACAGAGAGGTGAGGTTCAAATCGAATCATTTTTCCCTGCTCTGCCTCTCTTAACCCTAAATCTCTTGGTGCGGGGTAGGGAGCACAGAAAGCACAGTTTTTATTAAATTGTACTTATTTGGGGTGACTTGGAGCATGCTGATAAAGTTTGGGTGGGAGCCAAAAATAAAAAAAGCCCAAGTCATTCCTTGGTGCTCTCTCTGAAGAGCCCTGCAGAGCCCCCTGGTTCTCCATTTTCAGTGAGATTTCTTCTGTGTTACCCCGCTTCCCTCCTTTCCACCCCTACCTTGTCCTGGCCTATCCACAGCCCTCTATAATAGCCTATGCTGCCTACTGCCAGCTGGACTCTGAAGACAGGCCCCTTGCTGGTACCATTGTCTACTGTGCCCAACATCTCAGCAGTCCCAGCCTCAGCCATAGTGACATTGTCATGGTGACTGCTGCATGATAAGTAACATTATATAATACACGCAAACAGGTTGGGGTGGGGGGAGTCACTTAGCTTCGTATGAAGCGGAAGAACCCACTGAGGATGGAATAGAAGGTGTCTCAAGCTCTAAGAGCTGATTGGGCAGAGGTTGGTCAATTCTGCTGCCCATCTCGTCCCCTCACTCTACACTGTTTGGCCTTAGGCCACACTCCATGAACTGCTCCATGTCCTGGGTTTCTCTGGACAGCTCTTCAAGAAGTGGAAGGACTGCCCCTCAGGACCCAGTGGTAAATGCAGAGGAATGAGGGAGGGCCTTTCCACATTAACCAGAGGGAATCACTATCTCATGACCTCCTTCCCTCCAACTCTACCTCACCCTTCCTAGATTTCCCTCTCCTCATACTGCCTTCTCCCGTTTCTGTACTCAGTGAGAGAGAACTGTTCTACAAGGCAACAAGTGACAAGGCGAGATGAGTGGGGACAGCTGCTTCTCACCACCCCAACCGTTAGCCACAGCCTGGCCAAACACTTGGGAGTGCTAGGAGTTTCACTGGGTGTTCCCTTGGAAGAAGAGGTGAGTATGAGAATACTTTAGGGTATTGGAAGAAAGAAGGGAGTTGCCAGGTAGCAACCAGCTGTCTACCAATTCCTCCAGTAGGGTCCTTTGTCTTCACACTGGGAGGCCCGACTACTCCAGGGCTCTATAATGACTGCTATCTTCAATGGTGCCCAGCGCACTCGACTTGACCCAATCACTCTTGCTGCCTTCAAAGACTCAGGCTGGTACCAAGTCAACCACAGTGCTGCACAGGAGCTATTCTGGGGCCAGGGTGAGAAATAAGGGGAGAATTGCAGAGGGGCACTCATAACCCAAGTCAGATCAAGGGAAAGTAAGGGAGGTTGGAGGGATTATCTGCTATGGGCTGCTAAGGTGTAATTGAAGCTCTAAGCACAGCTGGTGCTGAGTGATGTTTGGAACTTCATTTGTTCTTAAGACTTTCTCTTCCTATCTCTCAAGCAGGATCTGGCCTGGAATTTGGACTGTTGACCACATGTAAAACTGACTCCTCAGGCTTCTTCTGTACTGGCAGGTGTGTGTGTTGAATGATTGGGGCGCTGTCCAGCTGTCAGTGATACTAGTGTCACTCTATCATCCCTTCTACACAGTGGGTTGGGCTGCCACTACCTGCACCTGGACAAGGGACGCTGCTCCTCAGACCCCATGCTGGAAGGCTGCCGCATGTACAAGCCCTTGGTCAATGGGGTGAGTAGATGAGAAAAGCAGAGAATGAGACTGAGTGGCCTGGATAGGAGTCAATTTCTAAGGTACCTACACAAACACTATTCTCCTACCTTCTGCCCTCCCTTCAGAGTGAATGCTGGAAGAAGGAAAACGGATTCCCACCGGGGGCAGAGAATCCCCACGGGGAGATCTACCATTCCCAGAGTCGTTGCTTCCTTGCCAACCTCACTTCACAACTGCTCCCTGAGGACCAGACCAGACATCCCTCTCAGATCCCACACCTCAAGGAAGGGGAGCTGGCAGGCCGCTGCTACTTACATCAATGCACAGAGAGGGGAGCATACAAGGTGCAGGTGGAGGGATCACCCTGGGTCCTATGCCTTCCAGGAAAGGCTATTCAGGTGGGTACCGTAAGTGGGATAGCTGTGGCACATTAGCAAAAAGAATTTTGAAATATTTATATAGTAATATATCCAATCTGTGTTGATGTTCATTCATTTTTTACCAAGTTTCAACTGAGTCCATGACCCTGACCAATATTGTACATTTTCCATAGGATGGCTTGAGCAATTCAGAGGCTATGAATCAGAATCAACTTAATGGCAACGGTTTTTTGGTTTTTTTTTTCTTTTTTGGTTTTACAACTATACCATGTTACATACTTCCCTGCAGATACCTGGGTACTACGGTCTTCTCTTCTGTCCCCGGGGTGTGCTGTGTCAGACTCATGAAGGTGCTAATGCTGTTACTTCCCCACCCGTGAGTCTTTCAACCCAAGACCTGCTATTGCAGCTGTTAGTAGGATTAGCTGGGCCTCCAGGCCATTCCTTGGGGAAACAACAGCGAGAAGAGCTGACGGAAGAAGTACTGCAGGCTCTGGTGAGCAGAGGAGGGACTGGCAGGTAAATGATGGTTCAGGCTGAGTATACAATGAGCCAAGGCAAATGCTTAAGTCCTTACTTCACAAACCTTTCTCTGAAGTCTTTCTGTTCATCCCCCTCCTAAACCTGCACCTGTTTCATAAGATGTTCTCTTCCAGGAACTATGCCTTCATTAAGAGATCCCAATGTCCCTTTAGGTGCTATTTCCACAGCCCGTCGATTACTGCTAGCCTAGTGTTTGCTGTGCAAATGTGGAAGTCCCCTGGCTGCCAAGGGCCTTCAGTTGGTATGCTGCACAGGGCCTTGACCCTGACTCTCCAGGAGAAGCCCCTAGAAATATATTATGGAGGAGTCATCTTTACCACAGAATACAAGTAAGCTAAGAGTCAAAGTGGTTTTCTTTCGAAACCCTGGAGTTCAGGTATTTGCTATTGCATTAAGCACTATTGTGTGTACACTGTCCTAGAGAGGACAGATTATGTATTTCAAAAAACTGTTAAGATTCCTAACATGATCACCTCAGAGTATCACTGTGTGCGACGCCCCCATGATGGTTTCCCCATCTCTAGATGTAGGGACTCTACAGCCCCCTCCCTTTCTTAAGCACTAGCCAGGCATCTAGTCTAGTTACCTAGGCACCACAGTCTGACTCTTCCCTTAAGCTACCTCCTTCACTGCCAAGTTACGTCTCTCAAAATTTAATTTGCTGGAAGACTTGGCTTTTGGTCGTATTCCTACTTTCAGGTTCTATATTCCTCATTGACTTCCTGTTTAACATTTGGATGAAGCACGATTTCATGAATTATATCTATTTTAATAAAGGTAAAGCCCTTCACTTCCTAAGCCTAGGCACTATCTCAGGCCAATTACTTTCCATGTTCCTAGGCTGCTGGCTACCTCGAACTCTAATCACTCCATGACCCATGTAGGTCCATCCATGGGACTCTGCCTAATGCTGCTTATCCTGGTGGGTACACTGGGAACCGTGGCCTATCAGAAACAAGCTATCCTTCAAGTGGGACCATCTGCCCCTTACCATTCATCAGAGCTTCAAGGCGCAAGGGGCCCAGCTGGACAAATAAGGGAGGTGTGATGACACTCAGAACATGACAAGAGTAGGGTACAAGATTATTTCCTGGGAGACAACCAGGTGAAAAGTCTGTCTAGCAGCTAGACTTAAGTTTTACTTTCTCAGAATGCCCCTTTCCCCAGGTATCAACTTTGTACTAGTCTTGCAAGGAAAAAAAATAGAGACTTATGGTTCTGAAAGTCTACTCTTTATTTTGGTATTAAAAATAAACTCTTCAACCCGTAAAGAGTGTCACTTGTTTTCAAAGTGAGCAAAGTCACAGAATAGAAACACCTGCTACCAGCTCTGAAGATATCGCACATGCTTTGGAAAGAAAGTCATTGCTATTTGGTTTCAATGGAGGAGGGAGTAACTAATTACCGCCTTCTCCTGATTTTCCATAATCTTACTACATCATCACTGGGGAAAGCTAGTGGTTGGAATGTCACCAGGTTATATCAGGATGGCTCTACTTTATACTCCTCATGAGCCAGCAGTAGACCAAACTTGAGTTATAATGCTTTGGTTCCTTTTGGTTATAGTTGCAAAAGAAGCCATCAAATTCTTGGGAGCTTAAAGTCTCTTGGAAAGAAGTAAGCTAGGAGGCAGACTGATGATCTGGATTTGCTTAAGTGGAAAATATTTACACTAAAAGTCCTGTTGATAAGCTACTGTTAAAATGACCATGCCTGTGCTGTGAGTTCAGTTGGCTCATCAGGTTACCATCTCCAGACCTCTGAGTGGCACATCTGAATTGAAGTCTCACTGTAAAGTCATGGCCTCAACTCCAGCTGTGGTTGTCTTCTTTGATTTTAATGCCTATCAGTCCTTACCAGCTGTAGCAGCCACAGCTTGGTAAAACTTTGCCACAAAGTCTGGCTCAGTGACCTCCAGCTGCCTGACAAATTCGTTGCGCTCCTGCTCAGCCCAACCTCGAAACCACTGATCCCAAAGACGGAGCTGGCACTCAAAGATACAAGGCGGTCGGTTTGCCCCTGACAGACTAAGCTGCTCCAGACCATCCAGCAGTGGCTGTAATTTTCCTGGCACTGCCTTAGCTACCAGGTCCTGTAGGAAACGTTCACGCTGGGGACCTGACCAACTTGCAAACCAGTGCAGAACACACTTCATCTCCCGGGACGTGACAAAAGACATTGAAGGAAGGGAAGAGTTAATAATATTGTCTGGCACTGAGGATAAAGGAGAAGGGAAGGATAGTGGTATTGAAGATGATGATTCCCGTGGCATCCTGAAACATAAAAGCACTGTTATATACTCTCTGGATAGCACAACAAAAATATAACTTCCTAGCATCAGGAGCTAAATCTACCTCTTATCACACCCAATCAGCATCTACACAAAAAATTGCTTTTTACCAACTCAATTTACAGGAAAACAACCAGTTCTTTTTTTAGATTATTATCCAACTGCCTTAGAGAAGTCATCCAAGAATAACATTTCATATTTGCGAACTTTCCTGTCTCTTTTTTGCAAACCCATTTGCCTCCCTCCATTTTTCTTACAAAGAACCTAAAAATAATCAATACTTATTTCTTACTCATTCTTTCCCTCCTACCTCTATGTTCCAGGTTGGGTAAAGGGGAAAAAAAAAATTGATGTTGATCCATCACATCTTCCCTAAAATAAAAAAAGGTACACATTTTCTTAATCTAGCTTATGTAGTTGGACCGGGCCTGTAGGTTAATCATTTTGGAGCTATCAACAGTGAAAAAAGGAAAAAAAAAAAATCACATATGATGAAAGACACTTCTTTGCTATGTGCATTGTTGTTAGCTGCCATCAAGTCAGTCCCTGCTTCATGGCGAATCCATGCACAAGGGGATCAGGCTGTGGTGATCCACTAGGTTTTCACTAGCTGATTTTTTGGAAGCAGATTGCCAGGTCTTTCTTCTTAGTCTGGAAGCTCTGCTGAAACCTGTTTAGTATCATAGCAACACACAAGCCTCCACCATCAAATGGATGGTTGCCTGTGCTTTAAGTGCATTGGCCTATAATCAAACCTGGGTCTCCCACATGGAAGGAGAGAATTCTACCATTGAGAACCACCACTGCCTATGTGCATAGAGTCTCTAAATACCCCAAGAACTTCATAACACCCATTACCTCCTTGTATCGCCCATAAAGCACCAGGAAAAATTAAACAGCAGAATGAGGGCCTCACCCGAAATAATCACAGTAAGAATATAGTAAGGAAACCATGAAAAGAAGCCAGGTGTTTATTCACGACTCTGAAAGTCTAGTTGGTTTGGTGGCTTATTATGCGTTATACCCTTGTATATGTATGACAATTCATGCCCTTTAATAATTTTTCTTAATGTTTAATATAATACCTATTGATGCCCTGTGACTGGTTTTGCATCACTAATGCAACTGGTAGGTCAGCCAACACGAAGTTTTCAGGTCCCAGAGTTTGAATCTCTAACAACTAACACCTGAAACTACTTGTCTACGACCCTTTCACTGTTTGTTTCTTCTGTTGCAAATTGAATGATCTGCAGCACAAAGAAAGAAAACCCTCGGCAATTAACATCAGTACTAAACAAGAGGGCGGGGGGGGGAGGGTGTTCCTTTTTCACAGTGCCTACAAGCAGCAGTTCCTCCTAAAGGAACTTTATTCTTCTATTTGGGGAAAGGGAGAACTTCTCCAGAATCTTGCTGCACGGCAAAACTCAACTTCAGTGATCATTTACTTCATAGTTAGTCTCAATCCCCAAAGCAGTTACCTCGTCTCTTCTGCCACTGCCCACCTGCAGACTTCCGTGTAAACCCGCTTAGTCGACTCTGGTGCAGAACTGTTTGGCCCGTAGAGGAGCTGACATTCGCTTTCGGTTAGATTACGTAGGGAGGGAAAATCTCAACTTTGGCTGAGAATCAAACACATGGGTCTAAAGACACGGTGCTACCACTTGCCCACTTGAGAGGCAACGGGACTCAACATTCTGAGGCCCCCAAACAGCAACGTATCCTTAGACGCGAGCGGCGGAGGCTCAGGAGATGGGGGTGGGAGGACGGGGGTGGCGGCAGGAGGCTTGCCCTACTAAGGGTAATCTGCAAAGTCCGAGTCAGACCTGGCTCAGGGAGAGGCTTCTACCCAGCTTACCTCCCCTCTCCTTTCAGTGCACCCGGAGACCGTCACAAGAGTCCTTGGACTCCAACTATCGCCGCCACTGCCATATTTCCTGAACACCCTAAGCAGAACCAGCAGAGAAGCCCACGCACTTCCGGTAGCGGACCAGCCCCAAACACCCAAGCGCCTCAGCGCCTCAGCCCTAGGACCGGAGATAGACGAATAACTCCGAGAGTCGAGGGCTTCCGAATAGATTCGGTTCAAGGCCTCCGTAAGACGAAGATAACCGAACTCGAAAAGCAGGGTGAGGGAGGGGAAGCTGCAGGGAGGATAGAAAGAACTGATTGGTGCCGATGTGGAGACGGAAACACTCGAGCAGTTCCGGAGGAACCCGGGGAGTTCTAAGTGGTAATCGAGGGGTTGACTAAGGCAGTGGGCGGGGTCAGCTGGGTACGTTCGAAGGGCGTTGGCGGAAATTACCGAAGATGCCCGAAGCCGTCGGGACGGGACCCGAGTACCTCACGCAAGATGGCGGAGCTGGAGGAGGTGACTCTGGACGGGAAGCCTCTTCAGGCGCTGCGGGTGACCGACCTGAAGGCCGCACTGGAGCAGCGAGGCCTAGCCAAAAGCGGGCAGAAGAGTGCCCTGGTTAAGCGGCTTAAAGGGGTGAGAAGACGACGTTGCCGGCGTGTCGGAGGGGAGCGGACCCGGTAGAGACAAGTCTCTGCCGCGGCGCAGGCGCAGTGTCCGGGCTCGGCGCGAGCGAGCTCAGGCCGCCAGCGCTAGGCTAGATATCCGCGCGCACGGTGGTTGGTGAGGCTCGCGCTTAATAGAAATACCGCCGGTTCCCGCCTTAACGGCAAAAGCGCGAGCGCAAAATGGGAGGGTGCGCGCTACTCTCTTGCAGTGTCTTTAAGCTCTTTCCCCCACCCCCTCCTTGTTTGTGTCTGTGGTTTCGGCGCATGCGCTGCAGAAGGAGTTAAATCCCACTACAGCCACCGGCGTTGTTGGCCTGAGGTGGGGACGAGTTGGGCTGGGTCGGAGTTAGGAGTAGATATATATATATAAATATATACGTTGGGCAGAAGGTTGATGGGGTTGGTATCGTTATCGGGAAGAATAGGATTAGGGTAGAGTAAGATGTCTGGTTGATTAGATTAGGAGGTGAGATGACTTTTTAAACAGTGGTGTATAATTTATAGGGGATCCGGAAGCAATTTGAGTGGATAAGAGTTTGATGAATATTGGTGAGAGAGGTGAGGCAGTTTGATATATGTTGGGGGTTTTGAATCGGCTTCAGTAGATTCGGGTGGTGGTGTCATAAGCTAGATGGATTGGTGTGTATAGGTTTGGTGTAAACTGAGAGAAGATGAGAAGTTTCTGGTTTTGATTAGGATTAATTAGGATACGTGGCAGGTAGTACAGATTAGGGCTAGGCTGGCTCAAGGACTGAGCTGGTCGACCGTTGCTTATACAGAGGCTGGCGGGTTTCTTCGTTTTTTTGTTTTTTTTTTTTCCTTTTTGTGAGGGGGGATTGAGTCAGACCACAGTTCACAAGGTCTGTGGCTAGTTGTTCTGCAGCCTTATCTGAAATTTTTATAAATTTGATGAATATAGGTGTTACTCTGCTGGAAACTATACAAATTCACTCAAGTAGATCTAGGTAGAGGTTACTGTTTGACCAAGTAATTCGCTCAGACCAAAGCCAGCAGCCCCATGTTGATTACGTGTGTTTGAAGCTGGCTTAAGTATCTGAAGTGATTTTACCCACCCGGCCAGATTTAGAAGGGGCCTAGTCAAAAGTGCAGAAGATACAGAGATTCTAGGACTGGTTCTGTCACCGTCACCGATTTTATGACATAGCCAGATTACTCATTCTCTGTGGGCCTGCATTTTACGTCTGTACATTTAGGAGCAGTAACCGTGGCTACCTTTAAGGGTCTTCTGAAGATGAATGAGAACAATGTTAATAAAGGGCTTTGAGGTCCCTGGAAAAGGAGTACAGTTTAAGCGTATATGGTTAGTCATTGCATTTGATGAAAAGGTTGGGGGAGAAGCGCTTTCGTTTTTTTTTCTCTTTTCCCCTAGTTTCTGACATTTGCCCTTCTCTATACCAGGCTCTAATGCTAGAAAATTTACAGAAACACTCGACACCCCATGCTGCATTCCAGCCAAATTCCCAGGTAAGAAAGAAGGTTTGTTAGATGGGGCAGGCTGTTTGGATGTACGGACATATAGAAAGACACGGTGCTCTCTATTTGATGCTTAATTCCTTACAATTATTTTCCTTAGTTCCCTTGATCTGAAATGTTCTCATACCAAAACAGTTGAATTTCAGTCAAGCTCGTTTGTACACAAGGACATGGAGAAAAGAATAGAATCGGAGGAGCTATTAGTTAAATTCTGAGACTTGAAATGGTGTGTGTAGAAAGGTGTGTCTCCGGTTGATTAAGTATAGTACAGGATCTGAAGTCATTTATTTGCCGTTGATTTGGCAAAAGTAGTTTATGTCTTTGAATGTAGATGTGAAGTAGACAATCAGCAGGGCAGTGTGAGAATACAGTTACTGACCAGGAAGAAATCTTTTGATGACAGGTTTTCTAAGAATTCCACCCTTTCTATATCACCCATCTTTATTAGTGTTAACTACTTACTATGCACTTATTCTTAAATGTCACTAATTAGCTCTGTTACTTAGGGCAAGAAACTTAACCTTTGAGGCTTTAGTTTCCTCAGTTTTCTTATCTGTAATATGGGAAAGGGTTGGATCCATAATTTTGTAATTGCTCTGCTGGGGTTTTATGGGGCTGTTTTGGGGGCTTCCTAGGGAATATACCTTTTTCCTAAGTAAGCAGGGTTCATACTCTCCTTTCAAACTAGATTAGATCTACTTTTATCTGCTTTATATGTTGAGTTTCTGAATAAGATTTCTTTCAAAGAAATCATTCCACAGTTTAAAAAAACAGAGAGACTGGATGACCTCTTAAGGTTTCTTTCAGCTTTTAAAATCCCCTCATTCATAGTGTGTCACACATTCAAGGGAAAAATCTAGGTCTTTGTTAAGTGCAATGGTGTACAGCTCCAGTACTAGATGAAGTCCCACGATACTGTGGAAAAATAAGAGAGGCCTTCCTATTCCCTTGATAGTGCCTTATTAAACTGTAAATATTATAATCTAGCCAGTTAACAGAGGTTTAGCTAAGTAATAATACTTAGCTAAGTAATAATACTGCATTAATCAGTTTGCTATTGTATTGTTTTTGCATGTTGCAATTTAGATTTTGAAATTTTCCTTTTTTTTATATATTTTTATGTTTGTTTGTTTTTTTAATTGTACTTCAGGTGAAGGCTTACAGAACAAATAGTTTCTCATGAAACAGTAGTACACGTATTGTTTCATGACATTGGTTAACAACCCCACAACATGTCAACCCTCTAATTTCTCAACCTTTTTTTTTTTGGTGAAAATATACATAGCCAAAGATACACTATTTCAAAAATTTCTACATGCACAGTTCAGTGACATTCACTACGCTTTTCCAATTGTGCTGTTATTCTCAGTTAAGATGAAGGCTTACAGAACAAAATAGTTTTCTCATTTAACAGTTACTACACATGTTGCCCTATGACAATGGTTAACAATCTCACAGCACATCAACAATATCCTTACTCATTCTTGGGTTCCCTATCACCAGCTTCCTTGTCCCCTTCTGCCTTCTGGCCCTTATCACTGGACTACTGTACCTCATTAGTCCCATTTGGTTTTACAGGGCTGTCCACTCCCAGGCTGAACGGTGAACCTCGGAGATAACTTC